TCACACCATTCACAAACTCGGTTCCTCGATCAGTTCGAATTGTTGTAATCTTCATATCCTTTTCGACTTGTAGTTGCTTTAGTTACTCCGGCAACTTTGATTCAACTTCACTCTGTTTCTTTATGAATAACGTCCAAGTGTACCTGGAAAAATCATCAACAACAACCAAAGTGTATTTCTTACCACTTATACTTACTGGGTCAACTGGACCAAATAAATCCATGTGCAGTAGACTTAGAGGTCTTGATGTTGACTCTTGAGCTTTGGATTTGAATGATGTTTTGATTTGTTTTGCCTTCTGGCATGCATCACATATTTGATCCTTTTCGAATGCAATGTTGGGAAATCCATCGACTAGCTTATTTTGTGCAAGCTTATTGATGGTTTTGAAATTTAGATGATTTAGCCTCCTTTGCCATTCCCAACTTGCTTCATTTGAATTGCTTGCCATTAAACATACAGAGTCCTTCGTTGTACTCCAATCAACAACATACATATTTTTCTTTCTCGATCCGGCTAGTACAACTTCTTTCGTAGATTCATCTTTGACTTGACATTTATCTTTGAAAAATTCTACGAGATAGCCTTTGTCGCAGAATTGGCTTGTGCTAAACAAATTAAACTTTAATCCTTTGACAAATGAAACATCTTCAATTCGTAGGTCATTCTTTACAATTGTTCCGGTGCCTTTTGTTGTTCCATATCAATCGTTTCCTCCAGAAACTACTTTTGGTCCTTCGATGCTTTTGAACTCAATTAGACTAGCTTTATTGCCTGTCATGTGTCGAGAGCATCCGCTATCGAAATACCAAACTTCCTGCAGCAAAATTAATTTTTCTTAGGTACCCACACTTGTTTGGGTCCTTTTGTGTTAGTAATTTTTGGCATCCAAATCCACCTAGATCCCACTGATCCAAGAGTAGGTGATTTGTAGCCATTAAAAACTTTATAATCATAACGCACTTTCGGATAGTGATTCGGTGCGAGTTAGGAAGCTGATAGTTGCTTGATTCTATGAAATAGAGCAAATCTGGACTTGGTCCATGGTTTGTCTTCAAGCGACCAATCTTCTTCTGTGGGATATAATCTCCCAGCCCCAATTCTCGGAATTCTTCCCATATTCCTATGAGGTTTTATTGCACTAGACTCGTTGGTTCTCCTTTGAGATACAAATTTTCGCCTTTTAAAATTTTGTTGTCTCGCCAAGATATCATTGTGTTGATTCAGCCTTGCAACAATTTTCTGGGCATTGATTTTGTTTCCAACTCCTTGTCTCATTGTGCTATGTTAACTTTTCACAAATTTTACCACTGGAACTTTATTAATTAAAGTAGTAGTAGAATTAGTCAACTTTTGAGAGGTTTTAGAACATGATGGATCGTAGCCTAGTCCAGCTTTATCTCCAGCGGATTTTTGCATGTTTACCATTTTATCCATTATTTTGGATGAATGCGTAAATGATGCGATTACTTCCCGAAGGTTATGTTCTCTAAGCTCTCTAGCTTTGCACTCTTCTTGAAATCGAATATTTTCGGCTTTCAAGTTACTCATTTCATTTAGAGCATTTTGCAATTTTTGTGTCATTTCTTCCTTTTCAAGGATTAATGTATTATTGCGCTCTTTGATTTGAGTATGAGTGGCCATGACCTTTTGACAATCTTCCATAAGACTTTGAAATGATTCTTGAGTCTCGAAAGAAATGTCAACGGAACTAAAGGAACTAGAAGATACCTCTTCGTCGGTTTCTCGCGCCATTAAACATTCCTCATGTTCGAGTATCTTGCCAACTAAACATAGAAGCGCCGTATCTTCTTGTGATGAATCACTCTCGTCACTGGATGATTCTTCGGATTCGCTTGCTTCTGGCGGATCACTTATCAAAGCTTTTCGTTTATCCTTCTTGAATCTCTTTTCCTTCGACTTGTACTCTTCCTGCGAAGGGTTAGTAGCATTCGAATTTTTGCTTACCTTGGGGTGTGGATATTCTGCCATAAAGTGTCCAGGCTTTCTACAATTGTAACACACATTTGTGTTATCTTCGACTTGTTCTTTTCTTGGTCTTCTAAACGAGCTTCCTTGTGGTGAATTCTTGAACTTGTTCTTTCGCATTAACTTTTTGAATTTCCTAACAAATAAGGAGGATTGTTCGTCAGATAAAAAATCATTATTTCCTACTGACCTTGATGTAGACAGTTGATTGGCCATTAGTGCGGATGTTCGTTCATCGCGTTCTTCTTCAATTCGTGTCTTCATCTCGAACTCATACGCCTTGAGATCACTAAAGAGTTTATCCGTAGATAATGTCCCTTAGATCTCTATGATCTCGCATCGCGGTTACTTTCATATCCCAATTGGAAGGTAGTCCACACAATACTTTGAGTGATATTTCCTTCTGGAAGATGGTTTTGCCAAGATCACTTATTTCTCCAAGAATCTTGACTATGCGAGCTTCCATATCGGTAATACTTTCGTTAGAAAGCATCTTGAAATCTTCGAATCTTTTCATGGCGATGGTTAGCTTGTTGTCCTTTTCTTGTTCGTCGCCTTCACCGATGCTTATGAGAGTATCCCATATTTCTTTTGCTGTAGTGCACTTTCGAATCTTTGGGAATATGGTGTCATCGACCACTTTGAACAAAATATCCTTGGCAATGTTGTCCAAGTTATTTCGCCCTCTATCATCGCTTGTCCACTCCATTTCCGGCTTAGGAATATATTTTGGAGCATCTGGATTTAGTGCGGCGGCGGTGTTAACTTCCATGATCTTGATAGGACCATTTGTGATGACTTCCCACATTTCATCATTTAAAGTAGATAAGTGCACCTGCATACGTATTTTCCAATCATCAAATTTATCAAGTGAGAAAAGCAAATTTTGAGAAAGAACCATATCTCTCTTCATCTTTGAAGTTTCGAGATTTATCTAGCAGTAAAGAAATGACTCAATTAGACAACTGCTCTGATACCACTTGTTGGTCCTGAAAGGGTGGCGAGAAGTCTAGAGGGGGGGGGGGGTGAATAGACTTCTCTAACTTTTTCAACTTCTTTTGCAAACAACACTTTGGTAACTTCAACTCTAAGTAACAAGTACAAACAAGTATAACAACTTAGAAACACTTGATATAGATTAAGGATGATGTATGTAAAATTTCACTTGCATGCAAACGAGGGAACTATCAAACCCAGACAGATAAAGATACGCGATAACTCGTAACGGGTTAGTTCACAGTTGATATAGGCATGCACGAAATTAAATGAGCAGTAAGTAAATAGAGAGAGAGATTTATAGTGGTTTAGAGGTGGTGTAATCCTCCTAGTCCACTCTTCTCCTTTCACTCCAAGGAGGAAATTCACTATTCTTCGATCACCCAGATACAGTAGTGAATAAGTGTCCAGTGACACTTCTCCGAGTGCTTCGCACAAAGCTACACTCCACCAAGGTTTTTCGCAAGCTCCTTTTGTTACTCCGCCTTCCCAAGTACTTCGCACCAAGCTGTACTCCTACACCATGAGAACTACGCACCAAGCTACACTCTCACCGGGTTTTCACAAGCTCCCCTTGTTACTCTGCCCTTTACAACCGAGTGCTACGCACAAAGCTACACTCCAACTGGGTTTTTCAGTCTCTCTAGTTACTCTACCCCTTTTCTACACTCAGTAGAAGATTTATAATGAAATACATAGATTTCCTCTCTCAGACTTTCGTATGTAGCTCATTATTTTGCTTCTTGGCTGATTTGAATATTGCTTGCTTTTCTATTGCTTGTGTATCTTAATTTTTCAGCCGTGCTTCATTCGTGTTTGTCTTCAAGTCTGCCTGGGCATTTTATAGCCAAAGAAAGCAATTTTCCCGTTGATCAACTTTCGATCTTGATCGTCCATTTTGAATTGTAGTTGATCAAATAATTTTGCCAACTTGGTCTGCAAAGTCATTTCGCCGTCTGTCAGAAGATTTGAATAATCTTGTCGTTGCTCTTCATTAATCTGACAAAGCTTATCTTGAAATGGGTAGCCTCCAAATTTGAATTTCTCTGGCATGACTTTTGTTGAATCATTGATCTGATGTGCCAAGTTGATCAAATAATTTATCTGCTGATTCTTGCTTGAGTATTCAAAAGATTTCCTTCGTGTATCAAGAATGTTTCTGTCTAACTATTTTATCATGATGATGTCAGAGCTCCTCCTTTTATGATGTCATGTCCCAAAAGTATATCATGTTCCACCTTATATCATGAACTAGTGTCATGTTAGGCTACTATCATGATGTTGATATCATGTGTTCATAAAATTGCTTCAAGTAGGAGTCGAACTATGGATCATTTGGTTTTCTCTGCAAAGCTTCTTCCATCTCAGCTAAGTAACCAATTAATATATCTCAAGACTTAAATTATTTTGTCTTATCTCTTCATGTGGGTTTCACAAGCCATACCACACTGTGATGTCATCATCCGATATATCTTACTATCATGTTATAAAAATGTTTCTTCATAATAGTTGTACCCGATATCACTACTCCATGATAGCATTCCTCTTTACACCAAAAATACTCCCAATGGGAATCTAACTCTGGATCATCTAGTATCAAGCATGCTTCAATAAGTTTTCTACCATCTCATTTATCTCAACCTTTAATAATTGATGCTTAATAAACTTGTTAAGCTATGCTCCCGGTTTCATTTATTCTTTCTTCAAAGCTGCTTTCACGTAGACTTCATGGTAGTGGTGCACTATACTTTGTGAACCACAACTAACTCAAATAAAATAAAATTGGGGTCTACAAAATACATTTGGCTCATCAAAACTCATACAATATATTCCTAACAGGGTCGAGTGCTATTCGAAACAATCAAAAACCAAACTCGTCCAACCAACAATCAGGCACATCAAGAAACTCTCAATCCAAAGAAAAAACCGGAGGCAAAGGGATCAAATGTTATGAATGTGAAGGATATGGTCATGTGCAAGCTAAATGTCCAACCTACCTAAGACGGAAGAAGTCTATGAAAGTCGCTCTTACCTGGAGTGATGATGATGAACCAGAAACTGATCCAGGATCTGATCCAGATGAGATCTCTGGGAACTTTGTTGCCTTCACGGCCCTCACAACTACTGTACCTGACTCAATAACTGGTGAAGAATCTGAAATTGAAGAGTATGTGTCATCAGAAGATTAAGATTTATCTGCGCCTTCATTTGAAGTAGAATATAGAAAACTGTATGCAAAATGGGAAATACTTGTAAAAGTGAATAGATCTCTGTCTAGTCAGGTTAGCATTCTAGAAAATGCCAAAAAGGTGTATCTATCTAAAATATCTGACAGGGACAGTATCATTGAAGACAGTCACAAACAAGAAGAAACTCTCAAACATGAGCTGGAAGAACTTAAAAATGAACTGGAGCAATTCAAACGCAAGATCAAAATGATGGACAACACATCCACTTTATACCAAATTTTGGATTCTGGTCGAAAGACACCCACGAAGTATGGGTTAGGATATTCTGGAGGAAAAGACAAAGCTGTTACAGTTTTTGTCAAAGCCTCAGGCCCTGACTTAGGCACTGGAGCAGATCAAGATAGTCTAGAAACTAGTACAACTCAACGTCAAGTCAAATTTGCTCCAAGTAAAAAGACAATTAAGATTTGATTATATAATTCTATTTGTCATTACTGCAGGGTACGTGGACATACGAAACCGGAGTGCTTCTACTTCTACAAAGACCAACGTGTTGAGAAATACACCAAAAAGTCTATCACCCCGTTTGTCAAGCAAATTTGGGTGAAGAAAAGTGATTTCCTCTGCCATGTCTCCTTCCACTCTACAAGTACTAACAGAAAAGAAAGATGGCACTTTGACAGTGGGTGTTCACGTCATATGACGGGAGATGCTAAGTTCCTAAACAATATAAAAGAAAGTACAAGAGAAGTGACTTTCGGCGACGAAGTTAAAGGAAAGATCACTGGAATTAGCACTCTGAATGTCACAGGGCTACCCAAACTAAAACAAGTTCTTCTGGTGGAAGGCCTTCATGCAAATCTTATAAGCATAAGCCAATTGTGTGACCAGGAATGGAAAGTCTGCTTCACCAAGGACAGTTGCAATGTTATAGACTATAAAAAGAACTGCGTCATGGAAGGTAAACGCTCTTCTGATAATTTCTATATACTTACTAACGATTCCTTTTGTTACAGGTCCAACATAAAAGAATCAAAACTATGGCATCAAAAAATGGGTCACTTAAATTATCGCTCATTGGAAAAACTAATCAAGATTAAGGGTGTAAGAGGTCTACTAACATCAAGGTAGAAACTGCCGGAGTATGCAGCGCATGTCAAGCTGGAAAACAAACTAGAGCAGCTCATACCCCTCAAAATATGATCAATACCACACACTGCTTGGAACTCATTCACATGGACCTTATCAGACCTACCAGAACAGAAAGCATTGGAGGTAAAAGGTACATTTTAGTTTGTGTTGATGATTTTTCTCGGTTTTCGTGGGTCAGTTTTCTCAGGGAAAAGTCAGAAACTGTTGAAGTCTTCAAAACCCTAGCCATAAAACTCCAAAAAGAGAAAGATGAGCTAATCATACGCATTAGAAGTGATCATGGACGTGAATTTGACAATCAAGTGTTTGATGATTGGTGTGCATTGGTTGGTATCTCCCATGAATATTCAGCCCCTAAAACGCCACAACAAAATGGCATTGTTGAAAGGAAGAATCGAACGATTCAAGAGATGGCTCGGGTACTACTCAATGCCAAAGACTTGCCTTAGAGATTTTGGACTGAAGCAGTAAGTACTGCCTGTCACACGATAATCCGGGTATATCTGCGACCTGGAACGCATCACACTCCGTATGAAATATGGAAAGGTAAGAAGCCTAATATCAACTACTTCCATATTTTTGGCTCACGGTGTTTTATTTTGAAGGACCGAAGCCCAACTGGAAAATTTGAACGTAAAAGTGATGAAGGGTATTTTCTTGGTTACTCAACGAATAGTCGTGTCTACCGTGTCTACAACAAAGTCACAAAATCCATCATGGAATCGGCAAATGTGGTTGTTGATGATCAACCTGATGAAATGACTGAGGTTATAGGAGTTCTGACTCCGAAGTTAATCCAGAATCTGATACAAATAATCCAGAACCTCCTGAAACTATATCATCAGAACCTACTCCAACCCCACCATCTACTAGTCTAGAACCTGGACCAGAACCAGATGCTGGAGCACTTGAAGTGGCTATCCGAACTCACAAAGATCATCCTACACAAAACATCATATGAGATCCATCCTCCGGGGTACGAACTAGAGGGATTAAGCGAAATTATCTTGAGCTTGCATGGTATACGTGCTACACGTCAAAGATCGAACCCAAAATAGTAAAAGAAGCCCTATCTGATGAACACTGGATTAAAGCCATGCAGGAAGAACTCGGACAATTTGAACGAAACAAGGTATGGAATTTAGTCCCTAAACCTGACGGTGTAAATGTTTTAGGGACAAAGTGGATCTTTCGTAACAAAACTGATTCAGCTGGAAACATTGCTCGCAACAAAGCACGACTGGTAGCACAAGGCTACTCTCAAATTGAAGGCATCGACTATGAAGAGACGTTTGCACCTGTAGCATGTCTAGAATCCATTCGTCTCTTGCTGTGTATAGCTTGTGCTCTAGGGATAAAGTTGTTTCAGATGGATGTCAAAACGGCTTTTCTAAATGGATATCTCTCCGAAGATATATATGTTGCTCAACATAAAGGCTTCGAAGACCCTCATCATGCTGACCATGTCTACAAATTGGACAAGGCTCTATACGGACTAAAACAAGCTCCAAGGGCCTGGTATGAAAGATTGTCCCAGTATCTTTTCCAGCCCGGCTACAACCGAGGGGGAGTCAACAAAACCTTATTTATCAAAAGGACAAGTAAACATATTACAATTGCTCAGGTTTATGTTGATGATATTATCTATGGTTCCACTCAAACAGATGCTACAGATCAACTGGTTCAAGTCATGCAACAGGAGTTTGAAATGAGTATAATCGGTGAACTGACCTATTTTCTAGGACTACAAGTTTAACAAACCAATGAAGGTATTTTTATATGTCAAGAAAAATATGCAAAAGGACTTCTAACAAAGTTTGGACTCGAGTCAGCTAAAGAAGCACGAACGCCAATATTTACAACTACAAAATTAAGCAAAGATGAATCAGGAAAGCCAGGAGCATGATCGGAAGTCTACTATACCTAACAGCAAGTCGTCCAGAAATTATGTTGAGTGTTGGAATATGTGCCAGATTTCAAGCTGCCCCTAATGAATCACATCTCAAAGCTGGGAAAAGAATAATTAAATACATTAAAGGTACTCTCAATTATGGCATTTGGTTTTCCAATGATACTAACTTGAATCTTGTAGGATACAGTGATCCGACTGGGCTGGGAATGCAGATGATCGCAAAAGTACCTCTGGTTGTTGTTTCTTCTTTGGAAAAAACTTTGTTACCTGGCTAAGTAAGAAACAAAATTCGATATCTCTCAGCACAGCTGAAGCTGAATATATAGCAGCTGGTAGCTGCTGTACGCGCAGCTCCTATGGATGAGACAAATGCTTCTAGACTATGGTCTACATCAAGAGTGTATTACTTCAACATTCCAATACTAAACATATTGAAATACGGCATCACTTCATAAGAGAATTGGTAGAAGACAAGGAGATCAATCTGGAGTACATTTCAACGGAGAAAAATCTAGCTGACCTATTTACAAAACCACTTGATAACACAAGATTTGAGTTACTTCGGGCTGCTCTTGGAGTGTGCAGGTTTTCCATCTAAGTTTGTTTTCTTTGAAACAATAAAGTTTTTTGTGTTTCTTTGTTTTGTGTTTGTTTTTTCCTTTTCAGGTTTAATCCAGAATATCCTCCAGATTCGCTCTTTGCTCCAGTCAGTACTCCAGACCGTATAATGAGTTATTCGACCGCACTAAATGTTTCAACATTTTTTTATTTTTTTTCTCTCTCTTGGTTGTTATACACCATCCACCGTCTCCATCCCCAATTTTTTAGAATCTAATCCCTAATATCTCTCACTTTCCTTTAACTCCTCTCAAACTTTCCTTCTCAATTCGAATCCTAGACAAAATCTTCCATCAAATATACTCGCTATCTCTTCTCTCTCACATGGCTAACCATTCTGATCTCAATCCTTTCCTTTTTTACCTGACTAAGGATTAGCGATTAGATCTTTATCGCCAAATCCTTGGGGGCACAGCTCCGATTTTGGATCTCTCCTCCCGCCGTGTCCTTGCGACTCTGCATCGACGTCCATCTCTAATGGAAAAATTGTCCGTGAGAGACTCAAAAGAGATCTTTGCCAGAGCTTCAATTCGGGCATCGCAGATGATCCCTGGCCTCTTGAAGAGGTGATCGATGAAGGGGATCTTCAACCAGAGCTTCAGGCTCGACAGTTACGGGCTCATTCTACGGTTTGATTTCTTTATCCTCTTAGGAAGCAATAACTTGTTGCTTTTTCCTAGGCCTGCATCACATCCTTGTGTTCTAATTTGCTTTTATTGCCTTGGTTGTGTTTTGTTGCTATGCTTTTAGTCTTAGGATCCCTCTGCCGGTCTGTCTCTTGTGCCTCTGTCTACAATTGCTTTCAAAGGTTCCCTACCACAACGCTCAGACGAGGCCATCCCCAAAATGGCTGAGCACTCGCAAGATCCAGCCTCTGCTACAGCATCTACTCCAGCCGCTGCTCCAGTCACTGCTCCAGCTGCTGCTCCAGTCACTGCTCCAGCTGCTGATCCTGCCACTGCTCTAGGCTCTATTCCAGAGGATGTTGGGGTTTCCATTCATGACATAGTCTTTGAGCCTGAGGATCCCTCCGTTCAAGAAGCCACTATGTCAGATATTATTGCTCGCCCAAGTAAACGCTCTGAACACTGTCTGACTGGCCATGCTCTGCGTACTAGATCCAGGACTGACATGTCTACTCCAGCTCTTCCTCTAGCTTCTGCTCCTGCTTCAAAGCCAGCCGCTTCGTCTAAGACCAGGGCCTCTAAGGTATCTAAGGAAACACTTTTCAGACCAATTTTGCTCTCTCCTGCCCTGGAAGCAATTTGGCAACAACATTCCAGTCGCGACATCCTTGTTGAGAAGAACTTTAGAATTGAGTATCTTATCCGCACTTGCAACATCATACCTCTTCTTCGTGCTCAGAATCTTCTTCAGACTATACAAAATGTGGGTGCTTACTCTGCTTGGCTAATCCCGGAATTTTATGCGAATCTACAATCTGATTCTCTCCTGCCAGCTTCTCAGCACTATCATCTTGTATTCTTGAGGGATGTTTGGTATGACTTCAGTCCCGCTATTATAAATGCTTACTTTCAGAGTGATGCTTGTGATGACTTGTTTGAACCTGCCGGAGATTTTCTTGCATCGCACCTTACCCACAATGAAGTCACATTCTGGCCCAAAGATGGTCTTCATTCGAACTGTTCTTACTGCCGTATACTCTGTTCTATTTCGTTTAGCATCAAGTAACTGGATTCTGAATGTCTCTGTGCACACGGTCACTAAGAATATGACTTCTCTATTATACAAAGTCCGACATCAATTGCCCATTGATCTTGGTCATCTTATTTATCATCATATTATGAACTTTGCAAAGAAGAAGGAAGTCAAAATTCATCTCCCGTTCCCATGTCTAATCACGGGGATTCTGCAACAACAAGGTCTACAACTCTATTCCAACGAAGAGCTTTGTCACATCACTCATAAGACCTCTATGGACTCTCGCCTCTTTCAGAAGTCGCACTACGACGATCGGGCCACTCTCTCACCCAATCCACCAGCTCCTACTGTGACACCCCTGATTTTCCTAAAATAAATTATAGTCCAAATAATAAACATTTTTATTAAAAATATTTATATAGCTAATTATTTTGAAATGGGCTTTGGTGTATTTATTTTTATAAATAAATTATTATGTATCTTGCTACCCAAATTCCATAAGCCCAAAATATATTTATATATTTTGTATGATTCTTGAACCTAAAAGAATTACCTAAACCAAGTGTGATCTTGAACCTTGACCCAACCCAAGTCTAGCCTAAGCCCAACTAGTTTTGTGGCCTACTAAAAATAGGCTATAGTGTATATGTGTATGAGTATTTTAAACCTAGTAGCCAAACACCCCCTCCCATCATTTTCTTCGTTTGTTCGAAACCAGCCGATAACATCTCTCTCTCTCTCGTTCTTCTCGGCCAAACATCAATTTCCGATGGCAGTAGAAGGCCGGCGTCGCAGGTGGAGTCTCGGCAGCTGATCAACGACGAGTCACCGGCGCCCTTCTCCGACGGCAAGACAGCAGCGATTTGTGGCGGTGGTCATCATCGACGGTGACAATATGGCAGCCCCTTCTTTTCTCTTGGTCGATGGGAGTCGGGCAGAACGGTGGTTGTGGATGGTGACACCGGCGAGATAGAGCTCCCGGCAACGGCTTGGGCAGTAGACAGAGCCTTCGGTGTTCTCTTCTCGTCGACGGCGGTGGAGTTTGGACTTCAGCCGCGAAGCAGCGGTGGTGGGGTGGCTCTTCCTCTTCCGGCGGAGCAGCTACAATGGCAGTGATGGACAACCCTTCTCCGGCGATATCGGGGCTTGGTGGCAGCGGGCAGAGCCGCAGGTGGAAGTTTTGTTGTGGTTCCACCCGCGGCATGGCATCATGAAAGAGACGATGAAAGGTGTTGTGGTGAGCTTCTACCTTAGTTTATCTTGCTTGTTTAATGTTTATTAGGTTGTTGTTTAATTAAGTTGTTAAGTGGTAGCTTAGCCTAGCGGTAATGGATGCTTTATGTTAGACGGTTGGCTAAGGTTTGAACTTTATCTAGCTCATACTAGTTTAATTAATAGTTTTACTATTAATTCTTGGTTAATTAGCTTATCTATTAGTGTTTAATGTTGTGGGTAAGTTACCAAGGAGATATTTAGCCTAGTTGGTTAATATATGTTTAGCTTTGGGAGAGATTTAGGGTTTAAATCCATTATTAGTTAGTAATTTTTTAATAGTTGTTAATTAGTGAAGGATCGGTTTGATTCACAGGTTCCCGATAGCTTGGTTTTTGTGTTGAGCCTAGCCTATGTTGGCGTTGGTTTTGGTTGTATAAGCGAATGAGGTAACCCATGATCTACAAAATCTATTTTGCTTACCAATATGATGATTTATTGGATTCTACATATGATTTTGCTATGAAATGTGAGTGTTGATGCATTGTCTTGTGAAA